TTAAACCACTTCTAATTATTGACTATGTCACTACCAATCCTCGAGATTCTTGAGGGGGTGAACCGTTCCCGGTTGCGCCTACAGCCTTAAATAAATAAGGCATAACTCCAGGGTACATACTTTTCATGCTTTTTTTTCTAGAGTAGCATTCTTTAATAAGATAAGAAGTCTTGCATGTTCGACTGCATGTTTGTTTTTGGCACGTGTGTAAAATCCCTATTTTTTCAGCCTAATGGTAGAGTCCTGTTCTGCCTCAGCCTCAAGGAAAGACCGTGAAAGAGAGAGGTATGGTTTTGTCAGCTGAGAGAATTTTTAAATACTTTCCTTTAATGCCTTATAAAAAACTGAAATATATGAAGTATATGTGTTTTTACTATGTGTTCACGTATTTTGGCTTATTTTTTTTCTTACAGTTTTCGAGTAAAGTGCTAATTAAGTTGACCTACACCTGCATTGTGATGCTAACGGTTTGGTATTAGCCGCTGCTAGCGACTTTGCTAGCAGTGAACCGTTAGCAAAAGGGAGTAACGGTTTATTCATTTCAAAATGGTATATTTTAACGTTTTAAAGTTACAGTTAATGTTTTGTATCTAGTACAGATATTTCAGTTGATATATTTCAATTTAAAAATGTAGTGTTCTGTTGTATTCGGGACAAATGAATGTGTAATTTATTCTGAGGTAATGTAAGAGATGAACAGTTTCCCTTAGAGTCTGTGTGTGGTGTATGGAGACCTGTTAATATAAAAAAAATTATATTATCTCCAGGTATGTACACTATCTAATCCACACGTAATAAATACTGTATAACCCTTTTATTTGTAGCTGGAGCCAACTCTTCTCACATGATGCAGTCCTGTGTATCCTCAGCCTGAAGCCTAGGAGGACCTAATTATGTCATTTACTTGAAAATGTAGTGTGTGTGGTTTCCTGTGGTAAGAAGTAAGAAGATTTTCAAAATGAAAAATATATATGAGTCTGTGGAAATTCTTCCCTTTCTGACTTAATGGGTCTAACCCTGTAGCTAGTCTTTGGTCATATGAGCTGCCAAAGCTAAATAGTTAAATAATGGGGCAGAATTTCCGGGGCAGTCGTGGCCTAACGGCCAGGCGAACCTGAAGGTTGTGGGTTTGAGACTCAGGCACCAGGTCAGACTCCTCCACCCTCAATACCATGACTGAGGTGAGACCCTTGAGCAAGGCACCGAACCCCCAACTGCTCCCTGGGTGCCCACTGCTCCGGGTGTGTGTTCACGGTGTGTGTGTGTGTGTTCACTTGGATGGGTTAAATGCAGAGCACAAATTCTGAGTATGGGTCACCGTACTTAGCTACACGTCACTTCACGAATAATTTACATAAATAATTGGATAAGCTAGTAGAGGATCTGCTACAGAAGCTGCGCTGGTTCATTTTTGGAGTTGCTGAATTAGTTTCTTTTAATTAAGTTATTGCTCTGCTATAGTTTTTTTTTTTGTTTGTTTGTTTTTTTCAGATTCAGATTAGTCTGTATCTGGACCATGGTCTGCCATTTACCGACCCCTGCAGTACACAACACTGACAGTGGAAAAGCCTTAATAAAACCAAGACAAGATTGCACACTGCAGGTTTGTGTTGAACCTGGCGCTAAGTGACCCGTAAATGACCTGATTCTGGGTCGGGGGTGTCGTGAGAGACAGAGCAGCTCAATCGCTGCGATCCATTGAAAGTCATCCCTCCATTTGCTCTCCAGTCAAATGTAAGTGCTAAACATATCTGAGAGGTAAGTGTGAACAAGCTAAACAATGACTGAAATAAGACAAAAAACAGGAAGTTGTTACAGAAATTGTCTTGCAGCAGAGAAAAGGTGCAGCAGGAAGGTAGACTTGCAACCTGTATCATTTTACAAATCAGCACAGTGCACACACAAACATAGAACGTAACATAGACTGGCTCCTTTGTCTAGAATGAAGGACTAATCATGTATATCTGACAGAAATGGACAAATATATATGTAATAGTATAACATAAAGTCACTTATAAAATATGTGAAAATTATTAGGGTTTTTTTTATTTAGCACGTTCGAAAGGAGTTTCCAGTTCCAGAGCTTTCTAGCAGTCAGAGGTAAAGCTATAACTTTAAGTTTTCCAACACATGAAAAGCTTCAGGGTGGAGGACTTTTGTGGATTCTCAATAACTTGCACTTTTTTGTCAGGAGAAAGAGAAAAAAAGAGGATGGTGCAAGAATGACTTGTTTTGTGGACATTGCCCATGGTTTTTGGAAAGGGATGTTCAGGTAGCACATCTGGTTGTGATGGTCAGGTGTCCACATCCATTGCAATTTCTGAGTTTGCACTTTACAGCCATGAGGTGTTGTGGAGTTATTGTTAATTCAAAAGAAATGTTAGCACAGTGACATCTTTTGAAGTCTGTACCTCTTTAATCTGAATAAGGCTAACCAATGTTTTTCTTTTTTTATTTATATCCCATTGATAATGAGTTTACATTGAAGGAAGGTGAAGTTCTGGGATACTTACGCCACCACAGTCTTACTGTAAGCGTCCCTGTTCTTTCTCCATCAGTCACCTGACACAGGTAATGTCCTATATCTGATTCACGGCTCTCTCTCAACTGTAAGGAGGTGTTTCCTTTGTCCAGCTCCTGAGTGAATAGACTCACTCTGCCCTTGTAGCCCCTTCCCTGTATCAACTGTCTGTTCTTATAGACACAAACACAGTCTGTCCCCTTAAACCACCGGATCTCCATGTCAACAGCACTGATTTCGGGAGAAAGATGACATGAGAATGTGGCAGCAGAGCCAAGTTGAACCCGTTTGTCTTGGGAGGAAAGGAGTTTAAACTCAGCTGTGTGCAAAAGACAAAAGTAACACACACACACACAAAATTAGATTTATCACATCTTCCTTCTGGTAAAACACTCCTTATTTTTTTCACATTTCACATACTATCACATGATTACATTAAAATCTGAAGGTAGATTAATTGCCTCACACACTGTCCATATAATCTCCAGAAATTTTGTCAATGTTACCCTTTTCCGTGATGAAGTTTCAAGACTTTCTCAAGGAACATGAGTTTTCTTTTCATTTCACACTATCAATACCCTGCACCAATTATTTTGGCAAGTTAAAGCTAGCTAAAAGTGTGCAGCATCGTAATTATTTATGCCTGGGTTAGTTAGCTAGAAGATACTATCAGGCTCTATTATTATAGAGTTTCCACAATCTTTAGCAAATCAAATGCAGAACTGATATACAAAAAAAACTAGCAGTTGTAGCTGTAGAAATAAAAGTTTTGTTATTTTATTATTATTATTTTCTTTAATTCATTTGTTCATCTTTAGTAACCGCTTTATCCTGGTCAGGGTCATGGTGGATCCAGAGCCTGTATTGGGAATACTGGGCGCCAGGCAGGAGAATTCACCACAGATTTCACACCGGTCCCTCACAGGGCATCATGCATACAAACATTCACACACTCGCTCACACCTTTTAGCATAGCCAAACTACATACCTTCATGTATTTGGACAGTAGGAGGAAACTGGAGGAACCCCACTCAAACATGGGAAGAACAAGCAAAACTCCACACAGACAGTAGCCCAAGCTCAGTATCAAACTGTGAACCCTGTAGCTGTGAGGCGCCATCATTTCCTGCTGCACTATCATGTCACCCTTTCATTATTTTCTCTCTCTTAAATGTCCAAAATGTCAGATCCAGACTTCTGCTCTGGCTTCCTTCTGTTATTTTGTTGTAGATAATACTGTTTTATTTGCTAAGAATCAAGATGTAGGTGAGGTACATTTGAAATCTTAAATATATCTTACCATTTTGCTATAAAATCTAAAGTGTGCTATGGGCTAGTGAGACCTCCATTGCTTAGCAGTGATGAGGACATATTAATTAATGCAGTTCACTAATACAGTTAAAAACTATATTGATATATTTACCATATACAATATTTTGTCCATCAGTCAAAGGCAGGCATAATGTCTCATTAAATATCGGTTCACAGATAACAGGAAGTATACAATAACGTTTGAAGTGGTGATGCCCGTTTCCATAAACCACTAAAAAGAGTAAGATGTTTTCCCCATCTAATGGCATAAGTTATAAGGTAGCCCACTGTAATGATTCTCTAACTCTTGTAACTTTAATTTACTTCTAAAGAGAAAATTAAATTCCATCAATAGGGCACTGAGAACATGAGCACATAAAAACTTTAATGTTTAACTTACTGTTGGTTGCAGCAGCCATCTCTGGTTACAATTCAATAAAATCCTTCAGAGAAATAGAGAGAATAGTGTGATATATTGAGTCTGTTGCCCATTTGTCAGTATGGTTTGAATATAACATTCCCCTCTTACCGTTGCCGTTGTTCTCACAGACACCTGCTGCTTTAGTGTGCCAGTTGTAAACTGTTGGGTTTTCACACAGGAAGCTAAAAATTCTTTCGCTTTCATTTATATTCACTGTTTTTTTGACAGTACATTTGAGAACAAGTCCCACTTTAAAATATTTCTTTTCGTTGCATTGCTTGTGTTTACACTGTTCACATTATTCATGTAATCTCACACATCTCTGAGCATCTCAGAAGGTTATCTAGTATTACCTTTGTTTTACCTTGTTAAAAATATCATTAATCAAAAATAATTATAGTAATGTACTGGATCATGGCTGGATTTCTTGCTGGGATACTACAGTAATTCTTTAATTATTTTGTACATCAAATGTGACATTTATTGAGCTACCCTCTTCTTTTTAATCATGGTTTTTCTTTAGTATGAAGAAAATGAATGTAATCTGAATGAACACATTAGGTTAGGCCATTATTTTACGAATCTGTTACTGTTCCTCTTTCGGCTGCTCCTACTAGGGTCACCACAGCACATAATTGGTACTCACATTTGATTTGGCACAGTTTTCACACTGGATGCCCTTCCTGATGTAACCCTCACCAGTTTTATCTGGGCCTGGGACTGGCACTAAGAGCACACTTGCACACAACCCTAGTGGCCTGGAATTGAACCTGGGCTGTGGCAGTGAGAGTGCTGTGGCCTAACCACTAGTCTTCCAGGGACCCCATTATTTTATGAATCAAGAATGCCTTAATTCATTTTTATTGCAAATATATTAATACTACCCAAAATGTCCTGTTTCTTTGGAAACTGCTCTAAGTTATATACAGCTTATATACAGGAGGGACAGAAACACATGAGACAAACATTATTAAAAAGAACATAGTTCATAATATTTATTACACTTTCTAATTATAACAACCCATTTATATACAAAAAGTAGTATGTAAATGAAATTTATATTTAATTATTTCTATACAATTCCATTCACTTTTTTCACATTCATTTTATAACTGCCAGGTCTAAAACAACCCAAAGACAATCGATGTACCATCATGGCACACAGCCTTTTTAATAAATATATAAAAATTGACAAATTTCACCCGTTCTAAAGATGGGCTCAGTCCAGTAAACACATTGCAGCTTGTGCTACAAATACAGGTGACAATGTATGAATCCTGCCTGTCTTCTTTTTTCTTATTGTTTGGCTCCTAGATGACATTTAATGATGTATAATACTGTAGCATGTATTAAATTATTCGGTTAGAGAAAATGTCTGGATATTTAAAAAGCACTTACTCTTAGATTTCAGTAAAAAACTGGAAATACCATTTTTCAGAATTTTAGCTGTTAGAATTGTATTTTAAAAAGCTACCAGTCCACCGTCTTAAAAAAAAAATTGCATCATATTTAATGTTATCTACACCTAATCCAGTATAACATAAATCTATACTGGTAAAATATAAAGTTAAAATTACACAAAATATATAATCTTGTGCACCATTGTGAAAGTATATCTAAACCCTAATATGTACTTTCAGTCTTTCTCCAGTACAGTGTTACTTTGGCTTTGGTTCTATTAAGGTCAACACGGTTGTCTGGTAGGCTTCTTTTAGTAGTCTGTGAGTCTCTGTCAGCTTGAAAAGTTTCTCTTTAACTGTTACTCAGTGAAAAAAGTCTTTAAATCTCTGAGAGATTCCCTTCGATGCCTCTCCTGTTAGAGCTGCTCTCTCTGGTTCTGAGCTGCTTCTCACAGCTTTCTCATAAACCTCTTCAAGCAGACTGTGAGTCTCTGTGAGCTTTGAAAGCTTCTGTTTAAGAGTCTCCAGCTCTCTGTCCTTCTCCTCCATCTGTCTGCTGAACTCTTCCTGCATCTTTGTTTTTGAGGCCGAAATATTTTTCTGGAGTTCAGGCAGAATGATTTTCATTATGTTTCTTTCTGCCTCCATCCTGACCTCTCCTTCATACACCTCCCTGATCTCCTCCATCTCCTTTTGGTGCCTCTCCTCCATCTCTCTCCTCTCCCTCTCTCTCTTTTCTTTTAATTTTTTCACCTTTTTTTCCATTTCTGTCCTTTGCTCTACCTCTTGTTTCAGCTCCCTCTCAAGTTCTCTCTTTTTCTCTTCATCTCTCTCTTCTTTCATCTTTCTCTCCAGTTCAGTTGTTCGGTTATCAAGTTTTCTGATGTCTCCTTCATGCTCCTGGATCACTCCTTCTATCTTTCTTAGAGAATCCTGCACCTCCTTTTCCAGTTTTTCCCTCATTTCTCTCTCTTCACTAATTTTTTTCTCCTCCTTTTCCTTCAGGATCTTTGTCTCCATTGCTCTAATCTGAGATTCTATCTCCAGATAAATCTCACTGCTGTAGAATTTCTCTCTGCTTCCTTCAACCATCTTCTCTATCTTCTCCAGCAGCTCTGAGACCTGAGAACCATCTCCACTCTCCTTAATGTTGAGACAATGAAACCTGTTCCCACAATTCTCTACAAGTCTCTGGACCTCCTGGTCTCCTGATTGTATAAACTCCTCAATATTCTTCTTCTGAACTTCAGCAATAACAGTGAAAAGAATCATGGTGTTTCTCCAACATCTCTCCCCCAAAATCTCCTCCATTTTCTCCAGCATCCCTCTCTCCTCTCCCGTAGGCTGCTTTACAGGTATGACCAAGAGGAAGGCGTGGGGTCCTGGAGCAGACAGACGGACACAGAGTTCCACATCCTGTCTCAGCTTCTCCAGAGAGAGTGCAGATGATAACCAGTCAGGAGTGTCCACCACAGTCACCTTCCTCCCAGCCACCTCCCCCTGTGTGCTCTCACTCTGCTGGATGGCTGTAGATTTAGCTACATGGGTCTTCTCAGTGCCCAGGATGGTGTTTCTTGCTGACCTTTTCCCAGAACCCATCCTCCCGAGCAGTACCAGCCTCAGTTCTGGTACAGGAACTGACAATGTAGGATCTGGAGCAGATGATTCTCCACCCACTGTAAATAAAATAAATCATTCTATTATAACCGATTCTGTTTCTCCACTCACTGTGAGAACCAGAATGTACAACATTCAGAAGCATAGAGACAGCTTTTTTAAAGTAACCCACCATTGGGGGGAAAAAAAAAAAACTTTTTCAAGCCGTAAACCAGTTTCATTCAAAAATAAAAACAGGAGTATATATGTTAGGAAAATGCTAACCAATCTAAAGCCAGGGTATCACTGCATTATTTTTGCCCCAATATTGCTTTCACTAACAAAACCACACATTGTAAAATGTGTGTGAGCTGAGATCAGCAGTGCTAGAACTTGTCTAGTGGAAAGCCTTCCCAGAAAAGTGGAGGTTATAACAGCAAAGGGGGACTAAATCTGGATGTTCAAAAAGCATATATGTGTGTGAGGTCAGGTGTCAACAGACTTTTGGCCATATAACATAGCTGGTTGCTCAAGGTAACATCGGCTTATGGCTTGTCATCCTTGGAACGTATACTGAACAATTATTAAATTTACTAAATTTAACTAGATTACTGTCATTGTATTTTTGGCTGAGATGCAAATGGGGCCATATTTAATTTTAACATTGCTACCAAAATAAAAATGGCAAAACTATCTTAGCTCCATTGAGGCTAACAAAACAGCCAATATAGGGAGTCTAATAGGTCTAATCAGACTTTAAATCATGCAATATGCATGAGTAAGTTTATTGTAGCAATAGAAACTGCAAAAACACTGGGCAACAAACCATAGGAAAATCAAACTAAGTTCAAAATAAGCCTAAAATTGTTACATGACTTAATGTAATGGGATTGCAAGATGCCCTGTAATCAAAATAAGCTAAATAATCTTAACAACCCTCATGTGCAGAGCACCCAAAGAATGGACACAATAGCAGAGTTTGGCCAGTCAAAAGTGAGTGTTGTGCTTTGTGGAGACTGAACCCAGTTCTTAGGGTAAGAGTGTGTTATTACACACTGTGCCACTGGGCAGAGCTAACAGATGGAGGGGCACGTACAGCAGAAAACGAGAGTTATTAGAGAACAGACAGAATTAGGAGTGGTAGGAATGGCAGAAAACCAGATATTAGAAAACCAACAGAATTAAGAGAGCAAGAGTCAACTGTAGGGATTGAATACAGATCCTCTTCAGCAGCAATGAGTATTCTACTGACTGAGCTACAGGGGAGGGATGGCAGACAGTGCACAATGCACCAAGGTGAGGGAAAGAAAGTAAGAACTAACTATGAGTGGAAGCAGGAAAAAGTAATAATAATCAAAATACAGATGGCAAAAGACAGACACACGGCAAACATAAATGAGAGAGAGAGACGGAGAGTGAGACAGCCAGGTACTCAATCCACCAACTGGTCTCAATTCTAAGAACTCTTCCAGAAAGGAATTTTAATTAGAAGTTTGGATTTCTTTCTTTCTTTTATTTATTTATTTACAAAAAAACATCTGCTCAAGTAGTACTAAAGAATATACCATTTACCAGCCTCATTTGATCGTCAGACTAAGGGTCTGTTTGTTTCACCTATGCTCTTAATTAGGGTAGTCCTAGGGGCAGTAAAGGCCAAACTGAATGCTGGATGATGTAGTTCTCATGGGCTCTCTCTCACCTCCCGTTTCCGGCGCGTAGGGGTGTTATGTGACCAGACATTGCACTTAAAATTAGATTTAATTATTTTATATTAAATGTCTAATTTCCCTGCCACAGACTTTGATGCTTTTAACCACATTATGTTTGGCAAAAAAAAAAAAATACTCACTGTATGGGGGCAACCCGTCAATGCTGTTTCTTTTCTTGACATGGGCTGAAGTGTGTGGATGTGTGATTTTCTTTTCTTTCCCCTGAAGCTGCTTGTCTCTTTCCATTAGCTGTGTCTTCTGTTCGAGTTGTTTGTCTTTTTCTGCTAACTCAGTTTTCTGTTGCTCCAGTAGATTCATCATCTCCTCTAGTTGCCCGTTCTTGTCCTGCAGCTCTTGTCCCAGAATATCCAGTTTATTTTTACTGGTTTCCAGCTCTTTTACAGTGTTCTCCAGCTGTGTATCTTTCTCACTCAGCAGTTTGTTTCTATTGTCTAGTTGTGTGTTTTTCTCCTTAATCTGTTCAGTAGTACTTTTAAGTTTTTCTTCCATTTCCATTAATACTGCATCTCTCTCAGTAAGAGTCTTCTCATAAGTCTGTAAATGTTCTTTTAGCTGTGTGTCTTTCTCTTTCAGCTGTTGATTTTTCTCATTTAATTCTTTATCCTTCTCCACAAGTCTTTTTTCCATTTCCAACACTTGTATTTGTGCCTCCTGTATCTGTGTGTCTTTCAGTTTCAGTTGCTGATCTCTCTCATGTAGAGCTCCTTCTCTTTCCTGTAGCTCTTCAGTCGTCTCCTCTAGTTCAGTTTTTGTATTTTTGAACAGTGCATCTTTATCCTTGATGATTTGCTCTCTGTTTCTCAGTTCTGTATCTTTATCCTTTATCTCTCTTTTACTCTCATTTAGCTGTTGATCTATATTTTCTAGTGATTTAGTCATGCTGTTTAGGTTCAGCTTGGTGGTTCTTAGTTCTTCTTCAGTTTTCTCCAGTTTGCTGCTCTTCTCTTTAAGGTCATCACTAAGCCTTTCATTCTCTGTTTTATACTCTGAAATGATTGTAATCGTTAGTTGGCATTTTAGCACAAACATAATCCATAAACATATACTGCCCTGAGAGTCTGTTATCATTTTTATATTTTACATTTATATGATTT